CTGCTCGCAGATATTTGTAATTGCAATCGGAAAGATGCTGATGATGAAACCGAGCCGAAATGCTCACGAGCAAGCTGCATTCGGAATCTTTCGCTGCCAGTGCGACCGGAATTAATGTGAGACTTAACGTCGTGCAAGACCTAACATTTGACTTAACGTCGTGTGAGACTTAACATTTGACTTAACGTCGTGTGAGACTTAACATCGTGCAATACCTAACGTTTGACTTAACGTCGTGTGAGACTTAACGTCGTGCAATACCTAACATTTGACTTAATGTTGTGTGAGACTTAACGTCGTGCAAGACCTAATGATTGACTTAACATCATGCGAGACCTAACATTTGACTTAATGTCGTGTGAGACTTAACAGCGTGCAAGACCTAATGATTGACTTAACATCGTGCGAGACTTCACATTTGACTTGTCGTACTTGACTTACCATCGTGATTGACTTAACGTCGCGTGAATTTGCCTCGCAGCATTCCGCCGGGCACGTCACCTGACCTGAAGGATCTCCTCTTCAAACTACTGAAGAGAAACGCGAGAGATCGCATCGAGTTTGACGACTTCTTCAACCATCTTTTCATCCGACAGCAATCGCCGACCAAAGCCAGTATGTACCTTTGTGCTCTCACCAGGGTAAAAAATATACGGGAGCGATGAGCGATTCGCTCTTCAAACCTCCGAAATCGCTCCCGTGAGGCTCAAAATAGCTCCCGTAACATTTTTGACGGGAGCTATTTTTTCCATAGACTTGAAAAAGAGCTCCCGTAAAAAAAAAATTTTCCCTGGCTCTCACCTTTGCGTCCTTACGGGCTCTGTCGCGTGCGCGAGCGTGCGGTCGGTCCCTGCGTATAAAGGTCGCGTGCTGTAAATGCCACGAGTGTTCGATTTAAAGACGGATGTTTGTTTCCGTAGAGGTGGCTTCGAGCTATTGAATCACTACTATCAGTGTTGTCACTGCTCTTTAAATCACTCGTCTATTAATTGGAGGGAAATGCGGAAGGTGACCTTTGTAAGCAGGGGCCCGTTCTGTAACGGTGACCGGTAATACAGGGTTACCTGTGTATAAGGGCCTCGTATATAAATGGACAGCACCGTTTGGAAACGACAACAACAGATGACGTCGCTGCACCTGTAATAATTTGGCGATTATCTCACAATTAATCATCTCATGTTATACGATGGCATCTCGTGACATCACTCTGAGAATCGAATCATATTCAGTGTCCAGCATCCGATCGATCGAATGCATTTGTAAATCAATTCGACGAATTCGTCGAGACCTTTGGAATTAGGTTCGCCGTGCACGTCAGCGTGTCGTCGCCGTGGCAACGCTCGTTAGCAGACTTGCGCGCGTGAAGCGGAGGCCTGTGCCGCCGGCTCTACGCGACACAGATCCCTCCTCCTCCTCCTCCTCTTTCTCCTCCTCCTCCTTCCACATCCTCCTCTCCCTCCTCCTCCTCCTCCTTCTCCTCCTCCTTCTTCCACATCCTCCTCCTC